ATCCCTCGCTGTGCCATGCACAGGACCTCAAAGGTAGCCTCCAAGACTGTATCCTCACTGCCAAGCACAGGGGTTCCCTAAGCTCAAAGGGGTGCTGGTGAAAAAGACACAGAGACATGGTGAGCAGAGTGGGTTCCTCTCCTTCCAGGCTGGTTCAGGGGAGCAAACCAAATAAATTAACTGCTGTATCTGCAGGAGTTCACTTACCCCCATGGGCTGTTCCTATAGCATGATCTATCCTTCAATAAGATATTTATGCGGTGCTAAAGGAACTAGGCATGAAAGGACTTTGGACTAGAACTCAATTTTCCCTCTGGCTCTGTCATTTTCTCTCAGAAGAATCCTTACTACTTGAACCCCAGCAGAAGAAGTGGCCAACACAGGGCTGAAGGAAAAACATGAAGCCCATAGGCCAAGTTCTGCCTGACCTGTTTTCCACAAGACCTGTTTTCTTGGGCCTGCACATTTATTGTGTTTGTTTTGTTTTTTAATTTGAATTTCAATGTATTTTAAAAGGGCACAAACTCTCCAGGTTTCTGCTAATCCTTAAATACACCCTTAACATGCAGTTTACTTGGCTCATTCTGTTTTACTAACACCCCTGTGAGTTTTTGACCTTTCCACCTTCAGTGAGCGGAAAACTTTCCTCAGCTAACAGAATAGTCAGCTTTGGAAGCTGAAGTGTCTTGGAGAATGAAATAAGGTGAATCAAAGAGTAAACCAATAGCTTAGTCTCTGAGATATTTTAGAAATCCGAGTAAGCCACTCCCAGGCCTCTTGGTTCTGCATTTTCTGTTGCATGCCTGCACTTGGTGGGCCCTCTGCAGATTTCTTACAGGGTGGCAAACTGCTGGGTCATAAATCCTGTGAGGTTCTGCTTTGAGTTTGTATCAACAGAGATGGTGTCTTTTCTCAGCTTGTTTCCATCAAAGCAATGCTTAAGGTGGGCTGATTTGGGCTCTGGGAAGAGCGAGCAGTCATTCTTTTGTGGGATGCATTTCTTTTTACTCCACCTCTTAGGTTCAAAATGCTCTGGAGATCCATTCGTCTTCCTTTCTCTGTTCCTCACAGGTCCTTCCTCCCTCTTCTTTGACTGCCAAATCCAAATGATGTATAAGCGGAGTGGAACTTGGTTGGGTGGGGAGGAGAACATCACTGATCTTTATTTTTTTTCACTTCAAGCTCCACATTAGATCCCACATCCGAGTTTGCTAAAGCATATAAGGTTCTACTAGCCCCTGGCCATGTCCTCAGGGTACATTTAAAGTCACAACATATGCACAGTGCATTTTGGGGGAGGGAATAAAATTTGCTCAATGGTCAGTCATTCAAAACCATAATAAAACCAGCAAATGTGCTATGGAGCAGAACGACTCATTTTTAAAAAATAAAACACAGGATTATAAAGACATTTCATGCTGGTAGAGGCTTTTTCCAAATGTTTCTCTGAGTCCCAAGGGAGTGTTTTACATCTCCTTTCCTATTAGGAGTATTTGGGTGAAAGTTTGGGAAGCAGAGTGAGATTCTGGTAAGTTCTTTTCTAAAACACAGTCTGCTTTTATATCTGAGAGGAGTATTTCTTTATTTCTGGGGTTCATGGAATGAGAAATTATGTAGCCCTTGGCTGGACACTTATGTCTGTTCCCAGGCTTGCCAAAAAGTCCTGGGCTGAGTCACTGTACTGAACTTCATAATCTCATTCAGAGACCACCGGGATTGTAAAACTCTTGCTGCTCAGTCTATTTCTTGTAAATGGCTCCACATATTCAAGAATACATAGTTTAGTTTTGTTATTGTTGGTTTGGGGGTCACCCCTCCACTACCCTGGCACAGTTGTCCTGCTTAGAAGTGTCAAGCATTTGTATTTTCTCTGTTCTACATGTGTCGGAAAGTAAATAGGTAGCAATAAAGAAACTTTATTATGCATGTTTTCTGCCTTGGGTGGTACCTGGAATTTGCTGAATTTGCTGAGTGCAACTTAAATTTTAAAAGGCTCCCGAGGCTCACCTTTTTCATGCCATGCAAGTCGAATGGAAAACCAAATAATTAGAATAAGCGAGCTGCATGGGTCCTTTCTCTTGGTCTCAGCTGACCCCAGACCCTGTGGTGAAATTCCAGCACCTCTTTTCCCCCCCTTCCAGCTGTTAAGCTTCCGTGACCAGATTTAAACAACCATCTCTTTTCCCCCTCTCAGATAATCAACTACCGATTTAGCATATTACCTAGGACATTCTTGTACAAAGAATTTTAAGTGCAAAAACAAGACAAAAAAAAATTGTTCATATCCATCGATTTTCCAGGACATCTCATTTACTTTATGTCAGTCTTATTAGAACTTGAAAAGTGACATTAATGATTAAAGCAATGAAACTGATTTTCACAGCACTATGCAGACTCTCACTTATGCCAATTAAACTTTGCTTAGACTGCTTCTCACTAAACTTATACATAGAGCTGAAAGCAAGGAATGAAGTGAAGCAGATTTAAAGAAGAATGAATGTAAATACCAAACATATTGTTCTTTCTCTCAGTGAATTGCCCCAGAAAGGGACCCTGTCAAAGATCCCACAAAATCTTGTTAAACATTTCTAGACAAGATATTTATTTATTTTTAGGTTTAGGGAAGAAAATCAGTATCATATCTTCCCAGCTATATTACATTTTGGAAGTAGTATCAACTTTTGGAGAAGGCAGCGTTGTGTAAACAAAGCCTCAGCATTGGACTCAGACAGGCCAGCGTTTAAATCCCAGAGCCACAATTTACTGGCTGTGTACCTTTGGCTATGTTACAAGCCTCTCCTGGGCCTCTTTTTTTTTCATCTGCAAAATGGGAAAAGATGGCAAGGATTAAAAAGGACAGCAAATGTGAGGAGCAAGTTCAATGCTAGGCACATAATCAATGTAAATTTTCCTTCCTTTTTAAATCAGATTACAGATTATTAACATAAAGTAACTTCCCACCAAGAGCTCACTCTGAGGGCCCTGTTTTCTATGAAGAGAGCTCTTGGTGGCCCTTAGTTGTGACTGTTGATTGCACACATCTGGAAACTATGGCAACCATTGTGCTTTGAGCTCACAGCTTGGCCCAAATGTAGCTTTGTATAAGGCAGCCTCTATCCTTCAGCTTTTCCCAACACAGCGTAGCTTGGCTTGAATTTGGGCAGAGGAGCAGTGTCAAAAGAAATGAACAATGTCTAGGAGGAATTCAGCTTCAACTAACAGTTTCCCAACCCTTTATGACCTCACTAGAGAACTGCCCCTGGAGTAGGTCCTTGCACATGCACAGGAGTCGTATTGGGAAGCCGTATTATTACGCCTACTTTGCAGAAGCTTCAACTGAGTCTGGGAGGTTAAATGACTTTCTCAAGGGCATGGAGATAATAAAGCATGGGCTTGGGATAAGATCCCAAGTTTTTCAGCCTGGTGAAGAAAGCCGCAAAATTTGCAGTGTTTGGAAGATTGGCAGCTAGAGTATCTACTTGCCCAAGTCCACTTTGCATTAACACTCTCTGTGACAAGTGCTTGGGTGGGGAGGTTCCAAGTAAGTTTCCTTGACTTTTAGAAACTCTGTGCCCAGGCCCTCTGTCCATTATGTCACATATGAACTAGGGCAGGTAGTGAGATCTAGCTAACTGAACATGTCATGTAATTTAAAATAAAACCACAAAATTTGTAAAATACTCCTAACATAATTAAATCTTTTTGGGGTTTTGTTTGTTTTATTTTGACAATTCAGAAGTAGTTTAGACCAACATTAATTGTCATTCATGTATTCAAAAATATTTGTAAATTTGCCTACTATATGACAAGCACTCTTCCAGATGCTGGGAATACAAAAACTGTTAAAAAAACAAAACAAAAACAACAAAAACCCTTGAAAATGCCCTCTCTTGTAACTGATTGAGTAGTGATAAATTGAGATTTTTTTTTTAATAATGTGAAAAATGCTGGCTTCCTTTTTTCAAAACTGTTTTTTAAAAAATTTTAATAAAATATAGAGCAATTCTTTATTTTCTTTATGGGCTTACTTTTTTCCTTTCCCTTCATCTGAAAAGCTTCCGTTTTCCTCTTGCCTCTCCATTCTCAGGAGACAATTTTGAGCCCAAAATGCTCTGCATCATCTGTCCCTGTCCACTGCCAAAGCGGGGCAATCAGAGTGTGGATCTCAGCACGGCCTGATTGGATGATGAACAGTGAGAGTAACGTGCTGTTAGAGTTTTGTTTTTTTTTAAATGCCAAAATACCAGAATGCAGTATTCCAACCCTCCTCTCTCCAAATCAAAAGCCTAGTGAATGAAATTATGACTGTTATTTGAGTGCAATTATACTGAGTATATAAAATTGAAACACTGAAAGTAAATCATACATTTGGATATTACATTTCATATCCCAGTGTATGCCAAATACGCTAGTGACGTTTTTATTATTGTTGAGTGTAATGTCAGGAGACAAACTTCTATACATTTTATACATAACTTTTTTCCATTTTATCTGTTTTCCATTTATGTCAATTTGAACACATGGTGTGACTTTTAATATTCTCTTCTCCTTCTTCCCCACATTTAATGCCAAGGGATCAACCCCAATCTTGATTATCCTAAATTTACCCTCGAGTAACCTCAGACCAAGAGGGCTTTGGGGTTTTTTTGTTTTTTTTAATTAGTATGGAAAAGGAGAGAGGAAGAACCTCTAAGTAACCCTGTAAACCTGGTTCTGCGTATTCTGACACATGGCCTGGAAAGCCTGGCCAGCGCCAGCGCGCTACGGAAAGCAACTGTGGCTACAGGCGGCCCCCTTGCCAGAGCAGGTCCCGGCTCCTGGAATCGGGGTAACCTCTCGGGGAGCTGCGGGCGGTAAGGAATAAGACCTCGCAGCCTGGGAGGCTCGCCTCCCTGGGCCTCCCTGGGAGAGCTCCAGGGCAGGGGCGGGGACCGCCGAGGGAGACCCGCGCCCGCGCTCCAGGAGGGGGCGCCCTGGCGCGAGCGCCGCGACCCCCCGCACCGTTGGAAAGGTAACCGCCGCGGGAGGATGGCCTCCAGCTTTAAGAGGCCGAGCGTGGCCTCTACCAGCCAGAAAAGAAAGACGAGTCCTAAGCCTGAGCTCACTGAAGGGCAGAAGCAGGAGGTGCGCGAGGCCTTCGACCTCTTCGACGCCGACGGCAGCGGCACCATCGACGTGAAGGAGCTGAAGGTGGCCATGCGGGCGCTGGGCTTCGAGCCCAGGAAGGACGAGATGAAGAAGATGATCTCCGAGGTGGACAAGGAAGGCACCGGCAAGATCAGCTTCAACGACTTCTTGGCCGTGATGACTCAGAAGATGGCCGAGAAGGACACCAAGGAAGAAATTCTCAAGGCTTTCAGGCTCTTCGACGACGATGAAACCGGCAAGATCTCTTTCAAAAACCTGAAGCGCGTGGCCACCGAGCTGGGGGAAAACCTCAACGACGAGGAGCTGCAGGAGATGATCGACGAGGCGGACCGCGACGGCGACGGCGAGGTCAACGAGGAGGAGTTTCTGCGGATCATGCAAAAGACCAACCTGTATTAGAGCGGCAG